TAACTACTAAATTTTTTCGATTTCGAGTAATCTGCACCTAACCCTATTTTCTCCATAAGCCCTGTTATTTCTATTACGCGATTTTCTATAACACGATATTTTACAAGAACACAATTATCGCGTTATAGCAGAACTACCTGTAAGGACGTAAATTGAATTGGGTCCTAAATTAACTAGGGTTTTAAATATGAAAAGTTGATGGTCGAACCGTTGTTATCGGAGGCTTTACTGTATAGATTTTTAGTTTAGACTCTTGGAAAACTCCTCAGCACACAGAAACATTATGAGGATGTGGGCTAGTGTTTGTGTGTGCAAGATGCTTAGTTTAGACACTCGAAAAAATTTTTTCCAGTAACCGGAAATATTTCCGGGGATTGGGGATTTTTCAGGGTTTGAGAAAGTCATCTGGTGAGCTGGAAATATCTCATTCCCGGAAGTGCTCTGCACCAATTGTTCCGGCTAACGGGGATATCACTTTAGTAGGTTAGAAAAAGATAATCACAAAATGAATGTCCCAGTCTTATGAAATGTTAGACATACATGTTAGTCAATAGGAAATAACATAATTATTACTGAACTCACCACCTGTGGTTATTGGTGAGTAGGAGAAGTTGGTGAGACATTGTACCTCCTCTAGCAGTTATCGCACATCTGGGAGTGAACGGTGATGCACTACCAACTTACTCCATGTTCATACAACTTCCCAACACCTTCACATGGTTCCTTATTATTACACTATATCCAGTAGGGTCAGGATATATTGTGAGATAGGGTCCAAGGATGTTCGCTATATACTAAATCGCGATACAGTGGGGTATGCTATAACGAACGGATCCTACTACGAATATTCCTATAACGAACGATTTTACCTATAAAATTGAGAATGCTATAACGAACGCAACTCCTACAACGAACGCGGATGAATACGGGACTATTTCGCCTGTCGCATGAATATTGTTGTACCGCGACCCACAACAAGAGCGTCAGGCGCCATCTTTGTTTCATTGTGTAGCCAGTGCACCACTGTTATTGTTGAAATTTCGTCTTTTGATGTGGAAATTCGCGTTATTTGTATAACTATTTTGTTATACAAGTATACAATTGTAACAATGAGTCGTCCAAAGCGAGTGGGAAAGCTAATAACCCTTGAAACTAAGAAAGAAATTATAAAGAAACGTGAGAATGGAAGTAGCATTGCGAAACTTAGTGATGAATATGGGATGGCTAAATCGACTATATGTACGATTTTGAAGAATAAAGAGGAGTTAAAAACTGTGCAAGTGGCTAAGGGAATCTTTAGACTTAGCAAAGCAAATTGTAATGTGATTGAAGAGATGGAAAATTTACTCTTAGTGTGGATAAAGGAGAAAGAAATGGCAGGTGGTAACATTAGTGAAGCTATAATTTGTGAGAAGGCTAAACAATTGTTTGAGGACCTTAAAGCCAAGACTCCCAGTGGAAGTGATAGTGCTGTGCCAGTGTTTAGGGGTACCTGCATGCTGAATAACACTAAGGTAAGATAAAGTACCGTATTTTTTACATTTTCCACAGAATTTTTTCAGTGTTAAGTGGTTGTATTTGGGGGCCTGGAACGGATTAATCCTATAACGAACGAATGCTATAACGAACGAGGTTCTGGAACCAATTACTTTCTTTATAGCATATCCCACTGTATATATAATTACATGTAAGCAATGGGGAAAATTGTGTTAGGTTCTGGAGGCCAATAAAAGTGACTAAATTTGACTTAACGAGTTTATTTTCTTACTAACTAAAGCACCAATGAACAACAGACTCAGGAACACCAGACTCGGCAGCTGATGCACCATCCTGGCAACACCAGACTCGGCAGCTGACGCCACACTGCCATCCTCACCTGACATCCCACACCTGCATAAACGAACAAACCAAAAATATTAGTTACAGTATTAAATCTTTTACATTAAGTTTTCCATTATCCTCACTTCCCTTTTCATGTCACTAGCAACCCATTTACACTCACCTTAAAATTCGAAATCTGCAGCAGAGTCGGCTGCTGACTCGTCACTCACTCAAAGACTGAGCGGGCAAGCATGAAGGTGTGGGTGAGCAGCCACGGTGGCACCTCTGGTGAGCAAATAACACATTTGTTTGCCATGGCGGTACATTAGAATTATTTCCTGCCCGATTTCCCTCACAAAATAAAAAAAATTATTGCTCTATATAGGAAAATGTCGATAATTTTGGTAGCCGCGTTATAAAAAAATCGTGATATAAAGTCGCATTATATCCCGACCCTACTGTACATGACATTCACCACTCTGTGGCTTGAAGTGGCAGGGCTTGGGAGCTGGAGTTTTAAGTGGGTATTCCCAAGAGGTAGACACACATCCTTCCTCTGTGGTGACAACTGTTATACAGTCCCTCCTCGACTTACGACATATGCGACTTATGACAACCCGTACTTACGACTGTCATTGTCATTATATTATATTATATTAAAATATTTTACATTATTTTCGAGTCCAGACGTTTGGTCGTAATGTCTAACTATGCCGTACGACAACTTCGGCTGGCACGCTGCCGCATGTGTACAGCATCCACGTCGTATCCCGCTCAGTTTGTGTATTAAAAAGGTAAAAGTTATACAATTATTACAGCACGATCAGGATGTATAGCGAGATAGGGTCCAAGGATGTTCGCCATATACTAAATCACGGTATAATTACATGTAATCAATGGGGAAAATAGGGTTAGGTTCTGGAGGCCAATAAAAGTGACTAAACTTGACTTAACGGGTTTATTTTCTGACTAACTAAAGCACCAATGAGCAACAGACTCGGGAACAACAGCCTGTATGACTGATAATTACATAATAGGTGACCTTAGCAAACCTTACCTGCGGCTGTCAAAACAGATCATCCTCAGAGCCAGGGTGAAGGTGGTTTTAGGCTTAAAAGTTTTTATCATAAAATATGGCACAGTTTAAAGTTAGCTAAATATAAATTGCATTGCTGGAATCCTTGCAAGACAACGAATAATTTGAATATAGACATCATATAATTTCCACAAGAGATAAAACTTTTAGTCCCTTGTACTCAAATGTACTAAATTATTACTAAAATTTATATGTCTAGTGCAAACTATAGCATGTTTATATTAAAATTAATCACTATCTTACAAGAATTCCATCAATGTTAATTATATTCTCTTAGGTCAATTCATTGACATTTTATAAAAGAACAACATAAACTCCCTCTATATGACAGATAAATAAATACCACACTAGGTAACTGTTGTCTGGCTCTGGCCCAGCTGTCATAATAAATCAACTCCCCTCTGACTTCCAGTAAGGGTGACTGTGGTTTTAGGCTTAAAATTTTTATCTTATATAATGTCACAGACTAAAGTTAGCAAAATATAAATTTCATTGCTGGAATCCTTGCAAGACAGCGAATAATTTGAATATAGGTAGCAGGCAGCTATCAAACAGGGAGGTACTACTGCCTGGGAAGATATTGGAAGCATAATGTGTTGTCTAATGGTAGACCCTGCTGCCATATGGCATCACAAAAGTTGTGACCCAGTCCCAGGTTGCTGATCTGACTTTTTGCCCCATTTACACACAATTGCAGGGTCTCAATTGTTTCTCTTACTTTGACAACACAATATACATACAGTACATTGTTTTTGACTATTGATCTTTTTTTTTAATATTTGTATTTTTTATGATCTCATGAATAAACATGAAACCTAAAGTATTTTTAGAGAGATTATGATAAGTATAAGTATAAATGAGCAAAGTTGTATCCCTTCAACATTACGTTACATAACATTTTAAAATATGGAGTGAGAAAGCAGAAAGGTTTGGGTGATTAGAGAGATGTAGTGGAAATGAGTGTTGCCAAGCACTCCTCAATAGGTGATGTACTATCTCTTAATCCACAAGAGTTAAAATGATGTTTAGGGAAAATTGATATATACAGTATGTGGTTTTTTTTTTTTTTTGCACACCAGGGAGTCGATCGCCGAATCACTCTTTCGTAGTTATCGGGTTAATAAACTTATACTGTATTGTGTTTTCAAGCGTCACATTTTTTGTAGATCCCATTCCATATGATTAGGTTAGGTTAGGTTAGGCTAAGGCCTTTTTAACTTACAACCATTTTATCCTTAACCAGGATGCCATTAATTTGGAGACATGTATTTGTATTCTCCTTTGCATAGGTTCATAAAACCCAAGTGAACTACAGCTACTCCTCGACTTACGACCACCCGGACATACGACCGCCCCAGTCGTACCAAAATTTTTTCAAATTACGTATTTTTGAGTCGTGACGTTAGTGATTGCGCTGTTTACTGACAAATTTTTTTTTATAATTCCCTTAAGATGGCTGTCAAGCTTAAAAGTGAGAGTTTTGTGGTGCTGAGAAGAAAAAGAGACACCCATTTTAGATTTTCTATGTATTATCTTTGCATTTTCGACTTACGACCAATTCAACTTATGACCTGGATTTGGGTCCGTAAGTCGAGGACTGCCTGTGCTCTTTTGTTATAACATTCTATCTCTCATTCATGTCTTTATCTAGTATCCTATTTATTGAAGTTAATATTCTGACATCTTTAAATTGTCTACATTACACAACTCTAGTTATAATGGAAGAATATTCTGAAACCTATGTATGTCTACAAGGAACAGTATGTTGTCTGCTGAGCTGCGTGTGTTGGCTCATCCCTGTTGACCATACAGTAGTAGGCTGTAGGAAGTGAACAGAGTACAGTATCAGATGGTAAAATGTCTTGTACTGTGATACTATACTGGGTAAAAGGAAGTGTGTATTTTTTTATTTTAATGTCATTTACAACTTTGGCATTTAAATATAATTGGTTATGAACCTGATAGATTTCTTTTTCTCTAATTCCCATCATAGTCATCACTTTCCACAGTCAGTCTTCCTAATCATAAAGACAGCCACTGTGTACTGAATTGTACGTACAATATTTACAAATTAATTTTCCAGACTGCTGTTGCCAAATCAGTGTTAGAAGGACAGTTTGTCAAACTGGGTATGATCCCTCCTGAGCATCCGCTGCCACCTGCCTGCCGCTCCACCCTCCAGACCATGTGGGCCAATAATGGAGACACCATAAGTAAACAGTATGCAGGAACCTCAGCCCTCAAGGTAACTAATCATGTTTACTTCAGTCGGTGAGTTTTGAGATTGCAGTATTTTATTGGAGATGTTTCTCAAGTTTATTTCCAGGGGAAGCTTGTGATGATCTATGTGTCTATTTGTGCATATGTCAAAATTTATGAACAAGATAACTTGCACAACTAGAATTGAACAGGAATGATACATAGTTTACAGACACATCACAAAATGATCTCAAACAAGTATTGTACTGTATTTTTTGTCTTATCATCTAGAGTCATGGTCCTTTGGACTTTGCCTTGACATGGTGGGGATTTTAGCCACCTTTAGTGGTGACCACTTGTTGATGCTTTAAATCTCATATGAGGCATTGTGAGCAACAAAGGCGAGCTGATAAAAATAATGTTTTGAGAATTTTTTTTCCTATTTCAGTTCATAACTCATGCAAATTTTTATCAAATTTCATAATTTTTGTCTTATATTGTAGGTTTGGGGTAATACATCATGAATATGTCTGTAAAAAAATTATAACTTTCCATAATATGCCTTAATTGCTGATGGTAAAAACTACCTGTACAGTAGTAATGTAAAATAATAAAATATTTTATGAGATGGATTTACAATTTTCTGAACTTTAATCGAGACGTACCTGGCGCTCCTTTCGGAGCAGCCAGGTCAACTGTTAAGTTGGCCCATACCAACTCCCTCCCCTGAACTCTCCTCCCCACCGGAATATCAACAAGTTCTCGCCAGAAGTAACAATTTCATTTAGGAAAGGAATGGAACCAGTGTTAAACAGAGGTGAACAGTTGTGAACAGTGCTTAAGTCAGTGAGAACAACTCAACAGTAACAGTCGTACCCAAGTTAACCTTCACACAGTGAGGTCCCAGGTACCCAGTGATATCGGCCCGTGAGACCCAACAACAACCAGCGATGTGTTAATCCGTCTACGATAGGAAGGCCTGGGACCAAACCTCACTCATATAACACCATCTGTGAGGGAATTACTACACCACGTCAGGTCCCTCATAATACCATCTGTGAGGGAGTTACTACACCACATGAGGCCCCTCTTAACACCATCTGTGAGGGAATTAATACACCACGTGAGGTCCCTCATAACACCATATGTGAGGGAATTACTACACCACGTCAGGTCCCTCATAACACCATTTGTGAGGGAACTACTACACCACGTGAGGTCCCTCCTAACACCATCTGGGAGGGAGTTACTACACTACAGTCAACCCTCGCTTTACGCGGTCCCACATTCCGCGTTTCCACGTTTACGCGGTACCCTGCCGAAACCGGAATGCTCACATTCCGCGGTGCGTGTACCCCTTTACGCGGAGAGCCGCTGGCGAGCCGCGCCATTTTTGGATCCAAACCTCCCGCCCTCTCCCACCATCCGCCATGTTGTGTAAGCGGCGTGAGCAGGGTGCGCACAAGGTCGCCCAGTCATCAAAACATTACCGAGTTCTTCACCCGCCACCCACCACTGCCGGCCCAAGTCAGTGATAGTGATAATTATAGTGAGGATATGGACTTATATGGACTTTGAGGGGTTTGACAAAGAGGCCCTGCACGCCTCTGTGGTGGATAGTGATTCAATTGATACAAGTGATACAGGTGAGGGCCAATAATCTGTCCTCTGCCTCGGAACCAACCCCCCATCCCTGTGTGCCCAGCCATCTTTTCTACTAATGTAAGTGTTAAAAAACCTAATATTATTGATATTTCTCTTAATTTTTAATTGTGTGTGCATACCATCATAAAATTAAGAAGTTATTTTTACTACAACGTAGGTATTGTGTCTGAAAAAGTGGAGTTTGGGGGTCGGCCCGGTCTCTATTTCAATTAATCCCATATGTTATGTTGTTCACTTTACGCGGGCCGCCGTGGGTTGAATTAACCGCGTAAAGTGAGGGTTCACTGTACATGTTTGCTGTTCAACGCCTACATTAATCTGTATGTTCACTGTATGTTCCTTTACCGTTCTCTAATGAAGGCTTTTGTTTAACCACCATTGTATGTAATAAGTCATTTATGTCCAATGTATATTTTCAGCCTTCGGGCTGCAGAACTTTTTCAATAAACCGTTAATTATTATTATTATTAATATTATTATTATTATTATTATTATTATTATTATTATTATTATTATTATTATTATTATTATTATTAATGAAAACAGTATCACTCACCATAACCATTCATGACCTTATGCTTGCATTCCATTTCTGCTTTGCCACAAATATCTCTTCCAGCTTTCTTCATGTTTCTGATGCTTACAACAGTATCCTGACACATTCTCCATCTTTATCACTACTTGAAGAACTCATGGTGTACACCAATAACGCCATAAATTGAGTAATTCCAGGAGTAAACGTCGTTGTATACACAGATTTCATGCGCGAGAAACAGTACTGCCTTGTGAGTGAGTGTAAGACTGTCTCCCATTGGCTGATTGGCCACTGATTGGCTCGCACACTCGCCCATGCAGCTATGCTAGAATTCTGTAGACATACTAAAAAGTTCGCCTTAATTATAAGCCTTAATCTGACTGGGAGACAGGGGCAAGAAGCCTGTGTTCTTGGGTTTCACAGAAAAGAGTATGTTTTGAGCTACCGGGAACCATAGAAAATGGATTTTCCCACATTTGGTCAGCTCGCCCTTGCTGGTCGCATCACCTCACATGAGGGCAGGATAGTCTGAGTCCCATGGTCAGCCACAGAATGGAACATCCAGATACAGAATGGGTACCTAAATTTACTCAAGGGGAAATTAAAGATGCTAGATTGTGGTCTAGCTTTGGTGTCCCATTGTATACCAAAGGTTTAGTCTTCAGTGTCCTGTATCCTTAGTGCTCCTAATGGGTCATCAGTCTTGGAGGGCTCACTGATACCTTGATGTACAGCACTTTACTATAAATCAAGATGACTCACATTTTGAGGAATACCGTGCAGTGGAGTCATGATAATTTGCAGGTTAGGTAACAGAAGCCATCATGAATGCAAAATCTTGATAACTCGGCACATATGGGGCTCTGGCCTTGCTGAGTTATCCCAAATTCCACCTTATTGAGGCACTTCCCTCCTACAAAAATACAACAATAAAAAATTATCGGCCCATATTTGTGTACATGCTATTACTAATTTAAAAAAATTAACACTTACCATCACCGCAGGCGAAGAATGAAGCATCATGGTAGGTGACACAGAGGTATGGCAGGTGACAGAGGTATGGCAGGTGACACAGAGGTATGGCAGGTGACAGAGGTATGGCAGGTGACACAGAGGTATGGCAGGTGACACAGAGGCATGGCAGGTGACACAGAGGCATGGCAGGTGACACAGAGGCATGGTAGGTGACACAGAGGTATGGCAGGTGACATATAGGCATGGTAGGTGATGCAGGTGATAGAGGGGAAATGCTACATAAACAGTAAACAGTGCAGCACTGTATATACTAATGTAATTTAGTTACTTATACAAAATAAAGCATAAATTTTAACAAAAATAATTGTCTTCTCTCCATATAATTCAAGTCTGAGTATGTAAATAAACATAACTTATACAGTAAGTCCTCGTATACCGTCGCCCCGCTTAACGTTGTTTTGGTACAACGTCGCTACTCTTTAGTTATCCATAATTCATTTAACGTCCCGACGACTTAATATAATGTCGTTTTTGTCGTCACTGTTTATCCATAAGAAAACATGTAATTGATACAGGTTAGGGGAATTGACTTGGCAGAATGTAATTTACATTGCTGGAATTCTTATAAGATAGTGATTAATTTGAATATAAACAAGCTATAGTTTGCACTAGACATAAAATTATAAGTAATTATAGCACATATGAGTACAGTACAGGTTTGCCCTTAGAACAATTATTTCTTTTACCTTTTTCACAGTATGTATTTAGGATGGTGTGTGCATGTAAATGAGTAAAAATAACTGAAGAAATTACTGTGTTTACCAAAAAATAAGTTGAAAAACATGTACAGTACAGTAGACTCGCAACTTGCGTGTATTTTTCTTGCGCAGTTTCAACTATATGCGGATTACCCTGGGGGTTAGGTTACAAATTCCAATTTCAAGCTCAAATTTTTCAAAATTTTTATGTCTAATGCGAACTATAGCATGTTTATATTCAAAGTAATCACTATCTTACAAGAATTCCAGCAATGTTATATTCTCCCATGTCAGTTCAGTGACATTTTATAAGAGAAAAACTTATTCACTCTTAAGAATAGGTAAATAAATAAGCACTAGACCTTGGCATCAACTTACAATACATCACACCTCCCCCCTTCCTCACCCACCACATCTTCCCAGCCAGGGTTGGGTGGTAATAGGCTTACAGTTTTTATCTTATATAATATCACAGTCTAAAGTTAGCAGAATATAATTTACATTGCTGGAAGCCTTGCAAGACAGCGAATAATTTGAATATAGACATATATTTTGCACAAGAGATAAAAATTAATTACCTGTATCATATTAGAGTTGTGATTTATGAGTTGTAGTGTGTGTATATATATATATATATATATATATATATATATATATATATATATATATATATATATATATATATATATATATATATATATATATATATATATATATATATATATATATATAACTATATATATATATATATATATATATATATATATATATACCATATATATTATATATATACATATATATATATATTATATATATATATATATATATATATATATATTTATATGTATATATATATGTATATGTATATATATATATATATATATATATATATATATATATATATATATATATATATATATATATATATATATATATATATATATATATATATATATATATATATATACATGGTAGTGACCTCAGTGCGAACTCAATCCGTTCCAGAAGGTCGTTCGTTAACCGAAAAGTTCGTTAAGTGAAACCATTGTTTCAATGGGTTGTTGGGTAATTGGTTCCAGCTCACCGAAAATTTCCTAAATTCAACAAAAATGG